GAGCCAGAGAATAAGTCTCCCACGAACGACAGCTTGAAGCCCTTGCCCCCTCTACCTCCGCCAACAAAGCAAGGCTCGAAGCGTCTCCAGCCTCATGTGGTATCCCCAACGCCTTCTGAGTTTCTACTTGTGACCGGAACCGAGGAAACAGAACCGGGCGTTGGAATGTTCGTCGACATGGATGGTGAAGTTGTTCGGGGTACAATTAACTTCCACAGATTCCCAAAGTCGGTTGTCATCGACACAAATGAGCACGATGAGATGTTCCAGACCAGTGAAGATACTAGAGAGGAGTTTGTTCTCGCTGTAATCGAAGACGAAGACGCTGGAAAGTCTCGAACAAGACTCGAAATCCAACGTTGGGACGATGACCCAGGGGAGATTGAGCGGACCAAGAGCTGGTTAGAAATACCATCCCCTGGAGAGACACAATCCATTCAAGTTGGCCTCCGACATACCCTCAGCCCTAGCCATCTTGAGCTCAATGAAATCGGACAGCTCTTGCGGATGGTCCGCCTCAAAAACTCCACGCTGCCCCCGCATGTGTCAGTCACCGACTCGAGAACCCAGGCATCCATTGAGCACTCCCAAAAGGAGAAAGAGCTGTTTGATCCACAAGAATTGACCGACTCGGATGGATCCAAGAAGAGCGAAGGCTCAGCAAGCCAGGGCTGGGAGGCTCAACGCGACGCAGAAGAAGCCAAATTTGCACATGGACTGGGCAAAGTCCAAAGCAGTCTGGTTATGTGGTCTGGATCTCAAATATGGCGCGTGCTGCAGAATCCACTGATAGTCCAGCTGGAAAACACATTGCAGAGAGCCGAGGAGACGGAAGAGGGCGAGCACACGGTGCTGCGTAGGGATGCCATTGTGGATCTGCTGCTTTCCATCCAGGACACCGAGCCAAAGACCGAGGCTGAATTTATTGGATTGAGTTACGTGAAACAAAAGGCCAGCCTTATGCTGTATGGAGACCTTCTTTCCATGCAGCCAGACGATCGCAATGCCGCAGCAATCGATGGCACCGAAAAAGCGCTACTGGCAGGTAACCTCGACCCGCGTTTGGCATTGCTATTTGTTCCTCTGTTGCGGTGTGAGGTCTTGCAGGGGCCTCAGGGTATATGGCTACATGCTGGGCTAGCAAGCATGGCGGAAAAATATATCGAACAGGTCGGAAAGATCGGCGTTGAGTCCTCTGGATTGGATGCTTCTCGTAGCCCTGTTCTCAACATGCTGAAACGGTTCCTTCTCTCCTGGCAGCAGAAGCGGGGATATGGCAGTATCACCGATGAGACATATGTTTTGGATAGCACCGATGCCGCGCTTTTGCACCTGACCTTGGAACAAGATGCCTATCTGACACGAGATCAGCGGGTAGCGTCGCCGATTCGTCCTGAGCTGAATAGGCTGGTCGACAATTGGAAAGGCAATTTCGACCGAGCAGTGATGCTCCTGGAAACATACAAACGGCTCTATGTGCTAAGCCGTTTGTACCAAAGCCAAAAGATGTCTCGAAATGTCCTCAAGACCTGGCGACGAATCGTCGACGGGGAGACTGACGCTGGCGGAGAGGTTTCCGCGCATGGCGTGGAGACGCAGATGCGCAGGTACTTGGTGAAGATTAAGGACGTGCAGCTGGTTGAAGAATATGGTTCTTGGCTAGCCGAGCGAAACCCCAATCTGGGCATCCAGGTATTCGCAGACAACGCCAGCCGCGTTAGACTGGAACCGGCGGATGTTGTTGCTTTACTCAAGGAGCGAGCTCCAAACGCGGTCCAGGTCTACCTAGAGCACCTGGTATTTGCAAAGAATGTGAGACGTGCTTTTGTCTTAGTTTCTGAACATCTGACTAACTTGTGAATACAGTACACACAATATGCCGATGACTTGATCTCATACTACTTGGACACGGTACTCTCCGTGCTCGAGTCATCCCCCGAAGCACGAGCTTCTTTGGCCGAGTCCTACTCAACCTATCGAGCCCTACGTGCCCCCAAACCGACATACCTAAACTTCATAACCGAGAACACCCCCGCAGAGCCCTGGTGGCAGTCCCGACTCCGGTTACTTCAGCTGCTGGGTGGAATCTCCAGCTCCCAATTCTCCTCCCAACCTCTCCCAACAGGAATCAGCTATTCAATCCCAAACGTCCTCACCCGCATCGAGCCATTCCAGAACGAGCTAGTCTCGGAATGCATTATTCTTGACGGCCTACAGGGCCACCACGGCCCTGCCCTCCGTCTCCTCACACACGGGCTAGGCGACTACGACTCCGCAATCCGCTACTGTCTCTTCGGCGGCCCGCGCAGCTCTTCCTCTTCAACAGGTAGCCCGCCAGAACTGGCAGATTATACCCTACAGTCAACGCTCTTCCGCCACCTGCTCGACGAGTTCCTGCACATTGAGGACTTGTCAGACCGTATCGAGCGCACGAGCGATCTCCTCGCACGATTCGCGGCTTGGTTTGATGTCCGCGAAGTCCTCGACCTTGTTCCCGAGGACTGGAGCGTTGATATCCTCGGCGGTTTCTTTGTGCACGTTTTCCGCACGCTTGTGTCGCAGAATCGCGAGACCCGCATTGAGCGTGCCCTTAGCGCAGGTTTGAATCTTCGCATTGGTGCCGAGTATATCGATGGCATGGAGAAGGTTGGGCCCTGGGTTGAGGAGGCAGAGGGTGTAAGAAGGTTGAAGGATGCAGGGCCACGGCGGGTTTCCTTGCCAACTGATGACCCTATTGATGATGCTTCTGATGACTCCGCTGAGTTTGGAGATACGGTGGGGCCTACATCTGGGGAAGTGGGCCAGTAGATCGATGATCAGGGGAAGTGTACAGGATAGTATGTGGATATGTGATGTTGGCCTTTGAATCTATGATACCTACGCAGTTTGCATTTTGCTATATTTTTCGTGTTGACTTTGTTATTTTTTTGGTTATATCCTAGTGTGGTTTTGGCGCTATGTATCATGAGCCGGTTCCCAAATTCATCTTCTCCGTGAGAAGAAAAAGACGAAAGACAGAACTGCACAACAGTAGCAGTCCTATGCACATTCCAAGTCGACAGAAAAGAAAAAAAGCGAAACCATCATATTGCGTTCGTTCCCTTCGTAGCTACTGATGAGCGTATGTTCCGGCGCACGCCGAAAGCCAGTGGGACATTAAGGTGCGTAGTGTTTTGAAGCTCCAAGCAGACCTAGGATGTCGATATCCCTGAAATGACATCCAGACCCCGAATGAAACCCGGAAAGAAGATAATACGTCAGAGAGCTTTTTTGTTTACTCTTCTGCTTGCAAGAAAGGGTTGGGGATTTCCTCGCTGCCATCGGCGGGGGAGATCAATACGATCAAAGTGCCACGGGCGACGATCAGACCCATTGAGCGGGTGGTAGTGTTACCCTCCTCGTCTGTGCAAGTTAGTATATAAGCAGAGATATAGAGATTGAATTCAAGTAAGAAACTTGGAACTCACCACGCATGGTCTCCTTAACGTCGTCAAGAACCAGGTTCATAAGCTGGTCGTAACCCTTGAGGGTACCGGTGACTGTTGGAGTTAGCATATATAGTTCATAGATGGCGATGAGAAGTCCAAGATTGACAGCGCAGGAAATAGAACAAAAAGAGATATATGAGAAGAAATGAGAAGATATCAATCCAACATACCCTCACGACCACCATTGAACTTCACTTGGACCTCCTTGTCCATGTACTTGCTGAGATCCAAGATGTTTTCCTTCTTGGGCTTCTCCTGTGCACCGCCACCACCGCCACTTTTCTGCTGGCCCTGGCCGCCGCGGCCTCCACGACCGCGACCGCCTCGGAATGAGCCTCGTTCAGACATAGCCTGTGTGTAATTGAGGGATTGAGAAAATTGGAAGAGGAAGATATTAGACGTGGGAGGTGAGATATTAGATGTATGAATACCCGTGGACAGACTTGGGGTATCTTGTATCTCTGTGTATGGGGGAATAGCGGAAGGTACAAGCAAGGTGGGCGCGTGTATGAGGGATTTTTAGTGGTTGGCCTTAGGCAGGGAATTTGGAAGTCCGCCTTGGTATGGAGATTACCAATTACGGCTGTATTATTGCGTTTCACAGCCACGAGGGATCCCGCTCGGAGGTATTTTACAGGTAGATTACAGGTATCTTCATCTCCGATCTGAACATTTGAACATTTGACCTCAATTACTTTGTACATTACATTATTTATTTATATGTATACATAACATATCAATTGATGTATATATTTGATATTCTTTTCAAGTAATCCTAGGCCAGATCGTTATCATGATTTCCTCCGAGCTCCTGGGAACAAAACATGTTTCAGCCCGCTTCCCCAGGCATCAGCGTAACCAACATCCACAAGCCTCAAGGCTTGATTTTATTGATCGACAGATATGAAGCACCTATGTAGAATGATCTGCGACTGTTATTACGTGGAATTGTTTCTGCATAGATATGCCAGACACTGTAGGCAACTGTTGTACACCTTGACCAGCGTATCGCAGGCCAGCGGAACCCTCCGGCGGGACTCCGCTGAGGGCTTTAAATGACCAGGTACTTTACTGGAATGTCCTCATATAATCCAAGTTGCAATCGGAATTTCTGTTGTAATACTTTTCGTTAATTATAAACGAGGGAAAAAAAAAGAAGAAAACCAAAAGGACCAAAAAGACCAAAAAAAGACCAAAAAACAATCGAATTCTTCAAGTCCCGGGGCCCTCATCGGAAACACAGATCACGTTTTTCCTCTCCACTCCCCGTGCGCTGTTCCGTCCCCTCTGTAGGCGCCCTACACTTTTCTCTTTTCTGCACCTTCATGGATGTAGCCTGAGTCTTATAAAAGGAGCCTGCCGGTTTCTCTCCGCGGTCCCGGTTCACCTCCGCGCATTCATACTCCGCTTATCTGACTCCGCGACTTCCTCTCTATTTCCTCCTCTCTTTCCACCCTGATATCCTAAACTACCCCAGGCTGTAAATAGGGTCTCTTCCCACTTCCACCCACAATGGAATCCCACGCCCAAACGGCGGAGTCGTCTCACAAACGACCTCGGTCTCCCACCGCCGATCACGGCATGTCGTCGAAAGTGCCAAAGACGCACTCAAACCACCTGCAAATAAACTATCTCGCACGGCAATACCCTGACAACCTACCGCTCGTCTCCGTCGATGATACCATGCCCGCAATCGTCCATCTGCTCGGCGAATATGACGGCGTTCTACACCGCCACGAGAGCATCGCCGGAAATCTGGGCGCATGCCCGCTTGGTCCAATATTGATCAAGCGCTTCGAGCGCCTGTTCGATGGACCGCCGCAAGTGTTGAAGTCCCATGGCAAAGATGGACCTACGGTGACTTGGCTCGATGTGGTCGAATTTGCGAAGAATAAGCCCGAGCAATTCAATCTGGAGAAGTCGCGCAACGGCGTGCGAGTCTGCCAGTTCTACACCAAGCAGTGTCGCGTGGAAATCAGTGAGGAGGATTTCGTTTTGATTGCTTCCGGCATGCCGCAGAAGATGATTCCGCCCCAGCCTATCATCGAGGATGAGGAAAAGGAGCTGGGCGCACTGGAGATTCTTGAGAAGAACTTGCATCATATAATTCAGATGGCTGATCAAGGTAACGAATCACTATATACATATATTAACTTAGGAAGTTGTTCACTGACAATCCTTGTGTGTTTAGTCTCTGCTCGAGCGAGACAGCTTAACCATCGATTGAAGAATCGCCGCAATGCTATTGTCACCCGCCGAGAGAACGATGCTTCTCTACATGCACAATCCCGAAATGTCACCGACATCTGGCGCGATCCCAACGGTAATGGTTCAGGAAACGGCCATGGATCATCTCACCCTTCTCCGTCTGGCTTTGTCGCTGTCAACTCGCATCGCCCCGAAGGCGAGCACACCGAGGAGAACCCTCTATCATCCCAATTCATGTTTTCACACACCAATACCGATAATGTCACCATGATCAACGGGCAATCGATCAAAGGTGCTTCCCCAACCACCCGTGCAGACTTGATGAAGAGGTTTTTCACAACGGCTGACCGTCATGCCCGTGGCTATGATGACGCAACAGCCCCAGTCAATCCTCAACCACTCCCTCGGCCTCGTGCCTCCGACCCAGCAGACTACAGTCTCTACAACCCCACGACAGCAACCCCAGTTGCTATCCCAAGCACCCCCTCCTCCCTCCTCCCACCGCCAAAATCAATCCACCAAGAAAAAGACGATGGAGGCCCTTTCAAGTTAGAAATGATAGCGCGCATGGAAGAGCTCCAACGCGGCGAGCGTGTAATTCCCCCCTGCGACCGCTGCCGCCGCCTCCACATGGACTGCCTCAAGAACCTCACCGCCTGCGTTGGTTGCACGAAGAAACACGCCAAGTGCTCCTGGCGCGACGTCAAAGAAGACGAAGTCACCGCCATGCGAGCTGGAATCACGACCTCAACGGTATCCCACGAGCGCCTCGACAACGACCGCTCCAGCGCAAACCTTACCCCACCCCAATACGGTATGGGTCCACTGCCCCCGATCTCCGCTGAGCGGGAGCGTCCCCGAGAACCGCCCTTTGAACCAGAACACCACGCCTACTACTATCAACCTCAAACCCGACGCGAGTCGGCCCCTCCGCCCCGAACCTGGCCCCTGGATCTGCGGTTCCGATGGAGCTTCCTTCCAATGATAACTCCCCGCGCCGGGCAATGAGCGAGACGGAGAATAATGGCCGCCCCACTGTTCCTACTGGTCGTGTCTTGGATCGCATCGAGGATGAGGATCCCGATGCTAATCAGCGACTCCGACAGGCTATTTTGGATACAGTGGATCATCACACACGTGTCGCTGCGGCTGTTCAGGAGAGGGAGCGTGGTGCGGAGCGTGCGGAACATCCAGTGGTTCTTCCTGCTCCAGGCCCGGCTCCTGTTTCTGGTGGTACTTATGACCGAGAACGTGAACGTGAACGGGAGCGGGAGGCTGATCGTGATCGTGATCGGCGTATGGTACATGCGTAAAGAATTTGAGTCTATTGTATAGTTTTTTTTGGTTTTTACATAGGGTTGGCGTGGGAGTACTGTTAGATATCCCTCTTAGCGATTATTTTTATTTCCTTTTTCTATCTAAACATCATTTCTCTCAGTACGGAGTATACATTCCCCTATAGGAATATATATGTGGAGCCGGATATATACTGCGCCGACATCCGTCGGATCGGTACTTGTATAGTCATTTAAGCACCAGAACTACCGTCTCTATAAATCCGATTGTTCCATCCGGTGGGGTCTGCGGGGTGACATTTCCATTCAAGAACTTTTGATTGAGAGAACTGCAAATAATAACACCCCACCATCTCCCATAACATATAACATATAACATGACCCCCCGGATTCTATAGCTCTAAACTATCTACTATTCCTCTCCAAAGCTACATAACCCACCATGGACCCTTCCAAAGTCAAAATCCCTCCAATGAAAGACCAAACAGTTGAGAACATCACCGAAAATGTAATCACAATCAACAGTCTCTGCGAAGACGAGCGCATGAAATACGTCCTCGAAAGACTAGTAACCCACCTCCACGACTTTGCTCGTGAAACCCGTCTCAGCAGCGACGAATGGATGACAGGCCTCCGCTTCCTAACAGAAGTCGGCCAGACCTGCACAGAAGTCAGACAGGAATACATCCTGCTCTCCGATATCCTGGGTCTATCCATCCTCGTTGACTCAATCGATCACCCCAAACCCAAGGGATCTACAGAGGGGACTGTCTTGGGTCCCTTCCACACGCACGACGCCGAGGAAATGCCCGCCGGTGATTCCATGTCGCATGATCCCAAGGGAGAGCCTTTGCTGGTTGTTTGTACGCTGCGTGATTTGAATGGGAAGCCTGTGCCGGATGTGAGGATTGATATCTGGGAGACGGATTCGACGGGACATTACGATGTTCAGTATGCGGGTAGACAGGGTCCTGATGGGAGGTGTATTATGCGCTCGGATAAGGAGGGCGTGTTTTGGTTCAAGGCGATTACGCCTGTGCCGTATCCCATTCCTCATGATGGGCCTGTTGGGAAGTTGTTGAAGAAGTTGCATCGTCATCCGTATCGTCCTTCGCATATGCACTTTATGTTTGAGAAGGAGGGTTACGATCACTTGATTACGTATGTTTTTGCTATTTTCCACTGTGGTGAACTATATCATGCTAACTTGATTCATAGCGCTCTCTACCTCCGTAACGACCCTTACGAAACATCCGATGCAGTCTTCGGCGTCAAGGATTCCTTGACCGTGGATATCAGCAAGGCTGACGCTGAGACCGCGAAGAAATATAATGTCCCAGAGGGCCATGCTCTCCTCACATATGACTTTGTGCTTGTGTCTGACGAAGAGACCAGCCAGTTGCGTGCGCACAACTCCAAGGTCGCGCTGGATAAGCTAGGTCGGAAAGTCAAGATTGTCAATGGGCTGCCTGTGCCGGACCTGGATTAAATGCTACGAAAAAGAGTACATTAGGAATATCACTTGATGTATATCTGTGCGAGTTTGGCTTGGAACTATTATCGTTGCTTCCAATACCGCCTGGTTTTTGTTGCATAACAAGAAGAGAATTATAATTGCACATGAATGTAAGATCTTGACGAAGCAAATTAGTCCCGGAACTGAGATTGCCAAATATAACTCCCTGTCTGTATTCCGCTGTCCCGGTCTTGATTGGGATATGAACATGTTCTCAGCAATGACTGGTGCTTTGTATTGATCCAAGTTGTGCCTCTCGAGTCTGTGCACGGTACGACGACCGGACCAGCGAGGACTGATCAGTTTCCATCTAGGCTATCCGACATAGTCTGGGCATTGGTACAACCAGAAACCAAGGCATTTGAGGGGTATTTTATGGGGCCCATTGCATCTTGTCTATATAGACACATCACCATGGCTTGATCGGACATCTGGATTTGGCTTAAATTTCCTCGATATCAGCACTATGCGTTCCACTTACCTTTTCTTGTCTGTGGCTACTCCATTAGTCTCGGGCTTTGTTATCCCCGATGAGAGCATCCTTGCAGAAATAGTCTCTGAGACTCGCCCAGCCGCGAGTGGTCATGTGTCTAAAATAGATGTTGATATGAGCCTGCTGGGAATCTCTCCGGATAGACGTAGAGGCCTGGGAAGAGGTGGGGACTGGCATGATGGCGATGAACATCCTAGGCACGGCGATTGGCCAGGCCATCGAGGTCATGGAGGCCGAGGAAGACATGGAGAATGGCCTGATGATGAATGTCCCGAGCATGGCGGTTGGCCCGGATACGACCAAGATCCGCACGGGAGATGGCGGCCCGGTGACGAGGAACGGCCCGGGTATGGAAGAAGACCCGGTCACGGAGGATGGCCTGATGGCGAAGACAGATACCGACGAATCGACACCTGTCCAGGCTCGCTTTGCCGCGCAGACAAGACAACATGGGAGCTCATCAAAGAAAACGAGCATACATCCCGCCTCGCAGAGCTCATCGCTGGAAATAAAGACCTGATCGAGATCCTGAATAGCACGACGGCAAACCACACCTTTTTTGCACTGACGAACTATGCCCTAGAGGGTCTTCCACAAGGGAAACATGGCCCCAGTGCCAAGTTTATCACCAGCTTGCTGCAGTATCATATCCTGCCTGGTCGATTATCCATCCACCATATCGCGGGCCACCAGACATTACCGACGAAGCTGAAAGAGTCGACTCTGGAATCAAAGTTGCCACAGAGGATTGTTGTCCGAGAACACCGCGACGGAGTGGTGTTGAATGAGAGAAGTAGGGTTTTTGGAGCTGACATGGTAAGTAGAAAAATATCCACCTGTGGACATACTATATTATGTGTATGGCATACTAACCTCACAAGAAATCCAAAAACGGTATAATCCACATAATAACCAGTCCCCTGCATCCACCCCCAGAGACACGCACATTGCTGCACCACGCACCAGCCCACTTCAGCACCTTCACGTTGGCCCTGGCACGCACAAAGCTCACCTACAGCCTTGACCCAGCGCAGCGACAAGGCGGTACGACCTTTGCACCCACGAACGCTGCCTTTAGACGGCTCGGGGAGGATGTTAATCGCTTTCTTTTCTCGGAGAAGGGCGAGAAGTGTTTGCATGCGTTGATGCAGTATCATATTGTGCCGAATCGGACGCTGTACTCGGATGTGTTGTATAGTCATAATGGGAAGGCCCATAGGTTGTTTTCTGGTCATGGGAATGGACATGGACATGGGCATGAGGGTGAGTGTGTGGATGGGCCAGAGGAAGACTCCGCTAAAGTGCAGCTTGTGACTTTGTTGAAGGGGAAGGATGTGGGAGTTGATGTCAAGAGGGTGTTTGGTGAGGTTGATATGTGGGTTAATGGGTTTAGTAAGTCTGGACGATTGGATTTGCTAGCAAGCGATGGGGTGGTGCATGTTTTGGATCGAGTATTGGTCCCGCCGAGGAAGATTCAGGATAAAGATATCTCTGAAGATGAGGAAGAACTGATGATTGAGGAGCTTATGGAGAGGTTGAATGGTTGTGTTTATGGGGTGACTCGTGAACTGTGAGACTATATGACAGGTCTACACTTACGCTAGTTATGTGCCAAGATACGGATATCTTGGGTGAACTGAATGTTAACAGAGTATCTGGTGAGGTCAATATATGGGTTAATGGATTTGGATCGAGTGTTCGTTCCACCGAAGATCTAGGATAGACATGTTATTGAAAATGGGGAAGAGCCGATAATTGACAACCTGGATAGGTTGGATGGTTGCATCTATAGAGTAACGGTGAACTGCTACGATCAAAGAAAGCAATTTGAAAATTTTCATTCCTATGTTTGTTCAATCACAGTGGTGAGCGAGATCGGTGCTTGCAAAAATAACAAACAAGATGTAACCCTTGAGTTAACCACCCGAATGCCTCTAGTTGACAGTCCGCCAAATTCCAGAGATAGCATCAAATAGGTGGTCAAAAACAGTAAGCAACAAGCAGAAACAATAACAATTACCACGTGTAAAATGTTTCGACTAGTGCATTCGTCTAGCCGGCTTCGACAGAGCCTGGAAGGAAGACTCAAGAGCTTTCTTGACCTCCTTGTAGCTGACAATGAGGCAACTCTGTTCGTCGCGACTGATCAAATGGATCTTTTCTTCAGTTCCCGCATCGAGCTTGTTCATACAAGTGATAATATGGGCAAGATCAGTCACCGCGTCACCTTGGCTATCCACCGAGTGGAAGACGTAATCGCGGAAAAGCTTCAGGAAGTAGCGTTCTCCGCTCTCCGACCAGCGCTGGTCAAGTTCATATTCAGGGCGTTCATTGATCAACCCGAGTTTGCTAATCAGGCGCACAAGTCGTCCATTTTCCAGCTCGCGGCCGAGATCAGAGGTCAGCTGATCATCCAGGTGGAGTGCCGAATCAAAAGTCGACATCAGCTGGGATGAAATGCCAGTGATAAACGTGTCGATGGTTCGCTCCTGATCCTTCTGCAGTCCATTCAACAGCCAGAACACAGAGTTCTTCAACTGAGGGCTGTAAGCACGAGTGAAGTGCTCCATGGCTTTGGTTGGGTTGTGGATGACAGTGGGCGAGTTAGCGCCAAGGGTGACAATCATTTGGCCAAAGTTGACCAGATCTTGTCGCTGGAGATCAGCCACAGTGCGCTGGGTATCGAACTGCACCACGTCAAGGATAGCACAGGCGTTAATGCGAATACGCGTCTTAGCAGTAATCAAAACCTTGCTAGGCTCGAGCACTCGGGCGGCAAGCCCACTAGCGTGAATCGCTTTGAGTCCATTGGCAATCTGGGTCATGTAGCCCCAGAGGATTTGCTCAGGAATATGAGCATTGGGACGGGTTGGGAAGCGCCCGTTTGCAGCGCTTAGATGCTGGTCTGCAAGTGTCTTGGACAGTGGGTGATAGTCCGTCACAAAAATCAAAGAGCTGTCTTGGAAGCTGCGGCTGGTGAACGCGTCGTGAATGGTCACCACACTGGCGTTGCAGACACGTTTCCAGGCTTGCACAGAACGGATAGCCTTCTCATTGGTCAGGCGGAAACCTATTAGAATTAGCTTGAAGCTACAGAAAAAAAAAGAAGATAGGAGGTTGTCATACCCTCAAGTCTGCGAAGAGCATAAAAGGTGCCATCTTTGCTAGACTGGGCCTTGTAGATCCAGCTTGGGTAGCCAAAGGTCGCAGCATTCTTCTGATGACTGAGATCCAGAGGGACAAGGGAGTGGAAGTAGTCCACCTGAGCAGGAAGTTGGGTGTCTTCAAATCCGTCAGCTTGAGTACAAAGTATTGTCAATTGTGATCCAACATACTAGGGAGAGTTTGTAGAGTAGCTGCAGATTTCTTCTGCAGTTCTTCGCGCAAGTCGTTAGGGATAAAGAGATCATGCACGTTGCGCTGGTATCCCAATGTGTTCTGGCTGTGAGGGCCAATTGGGGCATAAAGATGGTACTGAATCTATTGGGCGGTTAGAACTCATTCAAAGCAACAAAGAGGAGGATCTACTGGATATCAACGTACCGGTTGCTGGAATCCAGTTTGGTTTGCGAAGAAAGCTCCTCCCATCGCACCAGAATGGTCGTGAGAATAAGGATTGGTAGAAACAGAGCCAACGGCACCAGGAGTCATGGGAGTTGGGGTAGTCACAAAAGGATCAAATGCACCCGTGGGGGTGATTCCTCCGTTTCCATTGCCCTGAAGGGGGGTCTGGATGGGAACGTTAGCACCAGGGCCCAGACGCGAACTGTCGTACATGGGATCGAAGTCCTCTGCCAGGGCAGACAAGCCGCCGGTAGGAAGTTCATGGCCACCCAGCATCATGATCATGATAAAGATGATGATGATATGAACAGCGCGAGGAGAATGGGATGGTTCAAGGAAAAGTAGCAATACGAGGGAAGTCGAATGAAATCGAAATAGGATAGGGACGACTGACCACGTGCTCAAAGCCCTGAGGAACAAATTCCTGTACATCGGCTACCGCCCAATCTTGCATTGCTTCTGACCGCGTTGTTGGTGTACTCGTGTTGGAACCTTTTTCACATGTCAGTGGATGCCTTTGTAACCTTCTTCCCTCCTTTCACAGAGCGCATACGTGATGATGTTGTTCGAGGTTGAAATGGAGCTGCACTGGCAGCTTTAGGAGATATAGCAGTGGACTTTTTCGGTGCTGATACACCGTTCCCAGACAGTAAGGATGGGGTAAAACTAGGTGAGTCGACATTGAACCGCTTCTTGCTATCAAATGAGACAGTCCTTGTCAGTTCGTCTGATTTTTTCGTCCAAAGACTAAGTTTGCACCGCACCTGTCCAACTGGTTTGTATTGAGCTTCGACGGGTCATGATTGAAAGCACAACCTGGATACAAGAGTTCCAAATCAGCTTCACCACCCACACTGGCTGTGATCAAGGTTTGCTAATACCTTTGTCTTCATAGCGGCATCGGCCATAGATGGTCACGTTGCGGCACAATGTGTCTTTCGCATTCTCTATCAAGCAAAATCATTGTTGTTAGCAACTCTGCCCGTCTCAGATTCGACATTTATCTCCAGCTTGCCCATCTCAGAAGTGACATGGCAGACTCTTCAAATCAAACTCACCACGGCTCTTCATTTTCGGCGATCCTGTCGTCCGACGAGCGTCCTCCAATGGAGGCTTTCCAGCAGACGCCATGATATCTGGCTGATACCCACTTGATGGTGCGGATCAGCGCAAAAAGATCCCCATTGAAACCGTACTCGGTAGGGAACAAAGGATGCTATTGGGCGAAAACCGCATTCCCTTGCTTTGATCTTATATAAATTCAAGTCACCGTGGTCCACGCGTTTGGCGATTGGCGGGTCAATTCCGGGAGAGCCCACGGACGTCGGGCGGTATCTCAGCCGATAACAATAGGCATTAATGGTATACAAGGATAAGACCAAAGCCGTCTCTCATCCCAAGGAATGACTGAGAGCGACAGAACTGATGGAAATGAAAGACGCGGGGCGAGAAACGAACTCGAGTGAAGGGGGATATGCGCACGGACCAGGCGGTCAGAACATCAATGAGCTTCGTCTTGAGGCCACTTGAGCTTCGACGTTACCATTCTACCGTGGATTCTGTGCACGTGCTTAATGAACACTCTCATATGATCTTTCAATTCATGGCCGTTCATTTTTATCTCTTTTGACTCCACCCCCATCCCTGAGTTTATGGCCTACCGCCCTTCACCAGCAAGATGTCACAACCGGAGGTTGACCTGGACCAGCTTTCCGATAGCGAGAAGTCTGCGCTAGAAATGTACATGGCCGTTACTAGCCAGGAACCTTCAGAGGCAATTCCCATCCTACGCCGGTCACAATGGAATGTGCAGGTTGGTCTATCCTCCCCATCTTCCGGCCAAGCGTACGAGAGTTTAACTAATCCCCACATGATAGATCGCCATCTCCAAGTTCTTCGATGGGGAAGGCCCGGATCCCCTTGAAGAAGCTCGCGCTGCCATGGACCGCCCGCCTCCACCCCAACCCAACCGCCGAACCCAAAATTTAATGACCGACGACTTGAACGAACACTTGTCGCAGATTACTCGCGCCACAGCTACAGATCTGGCTCCGCGAGTTGACACACAATCAGGAGACCAGCATACCTACCGGCCTCCATTCATTCTTAGTCTACTTCTCAGTCCGTTTAATCTGGTCTATCGACTCCTCTGCAGTTCATTCCGCCTCTTTGGTGTCCTCTTCCCTTTTTTGCCACGCTTGTTCAACAGGACGGCAAACCCTGCGCTGCAAGGCGCTCGCCGGAATACCACTGGCCGTCGATCCCTCGGTCCCAAGGACACTGCCGCTCGCTTTATCCGCGAGTTCGAGGAAGAGTATGAATCTAACCCGATTCCGTTCCTGGAGAACGGATACAACATGGCGCTGGAGAAAGCCCATCGCGACTTGAAGTACCTCCTGGTCATTCTCTTATCCCCCGAGCATGACGATACCAACAGCTGGGTCCGTGATACCCTGCTGGCACCCGAGGTCGTGGAATTCATCAACGACTCCCAGAACAACCTCCTGGTGTGGGGCGGCAACGTGCGAGACTCCGAAGCATACCAAGTCGCCAACTCATTGAAATGCATCAAGTTCCCCTTCGCAGCGGTCATCGTCCATACCCCGAACGTTTCGTCAACCGCCATGTCTGTCGTAGGGCGGATCGCAGGCCTCACTACGCCATCCGAGGTGGTGAACAAGCTCCGGGCAGTCGTGACAGCTAACAGCGAACCCCTGGAGCGACTTCGGTCGTCACGTGTAGAGCAACAAGCCTCGCGCAGCCTCCGCGAAGAGCAAGACTCAGCCTATGAGCGGTCGCTGGCGATCGACCGTGAACGGGCGCGCCAGCGCCGGGAAGCGGAAATGGAACGTCAACGCGAAGAACAGGAAGCCGCTGGCCGACAGGCGGCAGAGGAGCAGCAGCGCCGCAATCTCACCCAGTGGAAGGTTTGGCGCGGACAATCGCTTAGCGCAGAGCCCGGACCAGATGTTAAGGATGCGGTTCGTATTAGCGTGCGGCTCCCGTCGGGCGATCGTATCATGCGCAAGTTTGCGCCCGATGCGGACATTGAAGAGATCTACGCGGTGGTTGAGTGCTACGAGGTCTTGCAAGAGCAGGATACACAGCCGGTGACGAGTGCACCAGAGGGATTTGTGCACCAATACGGATTTCGACTAGTCTCACCGATGCCTCGGGTGGTGTATCCGGTTGATGAGGGAGGGTCGATCAAAGAAAAGATTGGCCGTGGTGGCAATCTGCTAGTGGAACTGATCGACGAGGATGAAGATGAACCTGTGACCGACATGTCTTGAATATGACTCTCCATGATTCAAATGTTGCTTTTGTGGGTTCTAAAGTTGGAAGGCCACGACTGACCGCTCTGTTTTTTTTTTTACAATATCAATGTACAATGTAGATGATTATGATTCGATATCTCACATTCTTGGTCAGATTTTGAATCGGCTTAACCGAACAGGCATATTCCGTATTTGGTATGGCGTAAGCATTGCAGCCTTCCAAGGTTCCAAGGTTTCTGGCTAGGCTCCGAGCCTGACACGCATATCAGCCCCATGCAAGGGAGGTTTATGGGCACCTAATCTGACCGTGAGATTCCCAATACCACTCTGGATAAAATAACCGGAAATTCGGACGAAATGCGTATTTGGTCCGATCAGAATAGGATCAGGGGTTAGGGGGTTTATAGATCCCCGTATTGGGAAATCCCCAAATTAGCGTTAAAATGGATCCATCCATAGATGAGTCAGCTCGGATAGACCCTACCCGGGTATCCGAGGGGTCCATGTGGACGGATAGAGATAGTCCCGGACCCTTCTGAAACTTTATATTACTTTATACACGTGGGTGAGAAAGAACATGGCAGGTACCTGTACACATCTATCTTTTCTTTTCTTTGGCTGTGTGATAGTATCAGGTACATATTGGGTACATGAATGACGGAGTATAGAGTCATACGTCGTATTCGTCTTTGATATAAAAAAAATCCAAGGCCATTGTTACCCTAATATAGAGAAATAGCCGTGCTGATGTTTTCTTGGCAAGCCACTCAAAGGGCTAGATGAAGGAAAAAAAACTCCAAAACACGAAAATTCCCATCGGAAACTTACAGCTCCGCCCCGTGTTTGTTTCAACGGGACTCCCCGCTTTTTTATTTTTCTCGGGCAAAGGATACACACGCTTTCCGAGTCGGGAACTAAAGATCCTTAACCCTTTTTCTTCCTTGTATACTTAATTCAAAAATCCTTCATTCCTTCTAATCCCTAATACCTTTACAATCCTTACATCCCATTTGATGGTGATCATTTCTTCTATTCATCTTTTATAGGGATATTACCCCCCCCACTTAATTAGTCCCATCCCCCCTATCAATCAGACAGTGACCTTGTTGGAAGGTCATCATGTCGCTCCTAGGGACATTTAACTCCAACATCACCGGCACTCAAGACGTGCAGGAATCCCATGTCGCCCACATGGAAGCTCGCCGCCATGATCCCACGGCCAGCGTGAGCACCGATGACACCGCCAATGAGAAGAGCGAGGTTGGCAACGAGGAATACAGTGAGGTCGAGGTCACCCGCCTGGCCCGGCAACTCACCCGCCAGTCAACACGCTTCTCGGTCTCAACTCAAAATGCAGAGAATCCCTTCATTGAAACTCACGAGGACTCAACTCTCAACCCTAGCAGTGAAAACTTCAAGGCTAGAGATTGGATGAAGAACCTGCTTGCTATCCAATCCCGCGACCCAGAACGATACCCGAAGCGTCAGGCCGGTCTGTCCTTCAAAAACCTCAGCGTGCACGGATTTGGCAGTCCCACCGATTACCAAAAGGATGTGGCCAACTCCGTTCTCGAAATTGGTGCCTTGTTCCGCAAGATCGCCGGCACTGGCAAGCAGAAGATCCAGATTCTCGACAACTTCGATGGTCTCATTAAGAGCGGCGAGATGCTGGTCGTCCTCGGCCGTCCTGGATCTGGCTGTTCGACTTTCTTGAAGACCATTGCAGGAGAGATGAACGGTATCTTCAAGGATGCCAAGTCTCACATGAACTATCAAGGTATCTCCGATAAGCAGATGCGCCACGAGTTCCGTGGTGAGGCCATCTACACTGCCGAGACCGATGTGCATTTCCCTCAGCTTTCTGTGGGAGATACCTTGAAGTTTGCTGCTATGGCTCGTGCCCCGCGCAACCGCTTGCCGGGCGTCACTCGCGATCAGTACGCAGAGCACATGCGTGATGTCGTCATGGCTATGCTGGGTCTTACGCACACTATCAACACTCAGGTTGGTAACGATTTCATCCGTGGTGTCTCCGGTGGTGAGCGGAAGCGTGTCAGTATCGCCGAGGCCACCCTTTGCGGCAGCCCTCTCCAATGTTGGGATAACAGTACCCGTGGTTTGGATAGTGCCAATGCCCTGGAGTTCTGTAAGACATTGGGTCTGATGTCCAAGTACTCTGGTACCACCTGTGCGGTTGCTATCTACCAGGCATCCCAGAGTGCTTACGATGTCTTCGACAAAGTGACCGTGCTGTACGAGGGCCGACAGATCTATTTCGGTCGCACCACCGAAGCCAAGGAATTTTTCACCAACATGGGCTTCCATTGTCCCGAGCGCCAGACTACCGCCGATTTCTTAACCTCTCTTACGAGCCCCGCCGAGCGAATTGTTAAGGCTGGCTTTGAGAGTATTGCTCCCCGTACCCCCGATGAGTTCGCCGTTGCTTGGAAAAACAGTGCTGCGTACAAGGAGCTTCAGAAAGAGATCGTCGACTACGATGAACAGTACCCTATTGGTGGTGAGTCCCTCGATAAGTTCGTCGAGTCTCGTAAGGCTATGCAGTCCAAGGGTCAGCGTGTCAAGTCTCCATATACCCTATCTGTCACCGAGCAGGTCCAACTCTGTGTCACACGTGGTTTCCAGCGTTTGAAGGGCGACTCCAGTTTGAGTGTGTCCGCCTTGATTGGAAACACGATCATGGCATTGATTATCGGTTCGGTTTTCTTCCAGTTGAAAGACGACGTGACCAGTTTCTACTCTCGTGGTGCCCTTCTCTTCTTCTCTGTTCTCCTCAACGCCTTCTCCAGTGCCCTGGAGATTCTGACTCTTTATGCGCAACGTCCTATTGTCGAAAAGCAAGCTCGCTATGCCATGTATCATCCGTTTGCCGAAGCGATCTCGTCAATGCTGTGCGACATGCCGTATAAGATCACCAACGCCATCACTTTCAACATCACACTCTACTTCATGACTGGTCTTCGCCAAACCGGCGGCGCCTTCTTCACTTTCATACTCTTCTCTTTCATGACTACCATGACCATGTCTATGGTTTTCCGTACTATCGCCTCGTACTCGCGTACTCTGTCTCAGGCTCTGGTGCCCGCCGCTATCCTCATTCTCGGTCTGGTCATCTACACTGGTTTCACTATCCCAACCCGCAACATGCTCGGTTGGTCTCGCTGGATGAACTACATTGACCCGATTGCTTATGGCTTCGAGAGCTTGATCGTCAACGAGTTCCACGGTCGCCAGTTCCCCTGTTTGGAGAAGTCTTTCATCCCGGCGGGAGAATCCTACGTGGGTGTCGACCGTTTCAGCAAGATCTGCTCGGCGAAAGGAGCCGTCGCTGGCCAGAACTATATTACCGGTGAGGCCTACTACACTGCAAGCTTCGAGTACTCCAACAGCCACAAGTGGAGGAACCTAGGAATCATGATTGGGTTCATGATCTTCTTCATGGCCACCTACCTCATCGGCACCGAGTACATCTCCGAGTCGAAGTCTAAGGGTGAGGTTCTGCTTTTCCGTCGCGGCCACGCCCCCAAGCACTCCAGCAACTCCGAGGATGACATCGAGCAGACTCACGCCGTGTCCGCTGCCGAGAAGAAGGATGGCGCTAGCTCCAATGGCGAAGAAACCACTGCCGCAATCCAGAGACAGACCGCTATCTTCCAATGGCAAGACGTGTGTTACGATATCCACATCAAGAAAGAGGAACGTCGCATTCTCGACCACGTTGACGGCTGGGTTAAACCTGGTACCTGCACTGCTCTTATGGGAGTTTCTGGAGCCGGTAAAACCACTCTTTTGGATGTCCTTGCCACACGTGTGACAATGGGTGTTGTGTCTGGTGAAATGTTGGTTGATGGCCGTCCTCGCGACCAGTCTTTCCAGCGAAAGACTGGCTACGTCCAACAACAGGATCTGCATCTCCACACTACCACCGTCCGCGAGGCTCTGCGCTTTAGTGCTGTTCTCCGTCAACCGCGTCACGTTCCACACCAGGAGAAACTCGACTATGTCGAGGAAGTGATCAAACTTCTTGGAATGGAACACTATGCGGATGCCGTCGTCGGTGTTCCCGGTGAAGGTCTCAATGTCGAACAGCGTAAGCGTCTTACTATTGGTGTCGAGCTAGCTGCCAAGCCGCAGCTGCTTCTGTTCCTGGACGAGCCCACTTCCGGTCTTGACAGCCAGACATCTTGGTCTATCTTGGATCTCATTGATACCTTGACCAAGCACGGCCAGGCCATTCTATGTACTATTCACCAGCCCTCTGCCATGCTCTTCCAGCGATTCGATCGTCTGCTGTTCCTCGCTAGGGGTGGTAGGACCGTCTATTTCGGAGAAATCGGTGAAAAGTCCTCTACGCTTTCTGACTACTTTGAACGAAACGGTGCACCTAAGCTGTCTCCCGATGCTAACCCTGCCGAGTGGATGCTTGAGGTAATTGGAGCTGCCCCTGGAACCCACAGTGAGATCGACTGGCCTGCTGTATGGCGCGATAGCCCTGAGCGCGTGGAAGTCCACAACCACCTCGCCGAGCTCAAGTCCAACCTCTCTCTGAAGCCCGTTGCCACAAACGATAACGACCCAACCGGCTTCAACGAGTTCGCCGCACCGTTCACCGTCCAACTCTGGGAATGTCTCATCCGTGTGTTCAGCCAGTACTGGCGAACTCCAGTCTACATCTACTCCAAGATGGCGCTCTGCACACTCACCGCGCTCTACGTCGGTTTCTCTTTCTTCCACGCTCAGAACAGTATGCAAGGACTTCAGAACCAGATGTTCAGTGTCTTCATGTTGATGACAGTCTTTGGTAACTTGGTACAACAAATAATGCCGCACTTCGTCACCCAGCGCTCCCTCTACGAAGTCCGCGAACGCCCCTCAAAGTCATACTCTTGGCAAGCCTTCATGGCCGCGAACATCATCGTGGAACTCCCCTGGAATGCCCTCATGTCCGTCCTCATTTTCGTTTGTTGGTACTACCCCATCGGACTTGAACGCAACGCCGGTGATGACCTCCACGAGCGCGGCGCCCTGATGTGGCTCCTCGTCTTGACCTTCATGCTCTTCACCTCCACCTTCGCCCACATGATGATTGCTGGCATCGAGCTCGCAGAAACAGGAGGCAATATCGCTAACCTGCTCTTCTCCCTTTGTCTGATCTTCTGTGGTGTCCTCGCCACTCCTGGTGATATGCCCCGCTTCTGGATCTTCATGTACCGCGTCTCGCCATTCACCTACCTAGTCTCTGCAATGCTGTCTACCGGCACAGCCGGCTCAAAGGTCATTTGCGAGGACGTCGAGTTGCTTCACTTCAAGCCTACCCAAGGCAAGACCTGTGGCGAATACATGCATGATTTCATCATCGGAACAGGAACAGACACTCAGCCTGGACGTGGGGGTTACCTCATAGACCCCAACGCCACTAGCAAATGCTCTTTCTGCACCGTCGACAACACTGATACTTTCCTCCTGAGCGTGAGCAGTTCCTACAGCGATGCGTGGCGCAACTTCGGCCTCATGTGGGTGTTTATCATCTTCAACATTTGTGCCGCTGTTGGTATCTACTGGCTTGCTCGTGTGCCCAAGGCAGCACGCAGCAAGAAGACTAAGACTGCTTGATTGATACATACCCTCTCTGCTCTTTTTTCTTTCTTTTTTCTCTTTTCCCCTCCGCTCAACTGAACAGGATTCCGAGCGCTACTGTCAAAAGACTACACTAGACCGCCATCTCTAATCCCTCCACTCTTCTCGTTGCACATTTTCTTGTTTACATATTACACCTGGTCTAGCGGATGGGGATGTCCTAGATAATACATACATTAGCATAGAGCCTTTTGTTCAATTACATATTACCTTTCTTATTCAAATATCTCGTGCAGACTAAATGGACAAGACAGTAAATCCCCTTCTAAGGTATTCAATAAGAGATTATCATCTATGCAGGAAAAGTATGGAGAATCAAGTTATGATGATATGTATACAGTTAAACATTAACCAACGTCCTATGCGCCCGCTAACCGCAAAGCACAGAAAAAAGCACCGAGAAAAAAGATTACATTGAACAAAAAAAACAAGAAAAGAAACCCCTTAGGGAGTAAAAAGCAAAAACAATCACCACGTAAAAGCCTCCTCAACAAAATCAACAACAGCCCCCTTCCCAATCCTCTCCCTGGCCGCAGACCTAACCTCATCCGCAAAAGCCCCAGGTCCACAAACACTAACAAGCGTCGCCCCGGTCCTGCTCGGCAAAATCTCATCAAGAACAACATCAGGCCTACAACGACCGGAATGCATAAGCACCGTCGCAGAAGGACTAACGATATCCGCTGCTCGACGTGGCTTCGACACGAAAAGTTTCACAACGAGGATGTCCCTTCGACCGGGTAATCGCAGGATCTGGTCCATATAGCTACTTACCCAGGCGAGGTGGTCTGTAGAGCGGACAGACCAGATCAGGTAGACTTTTCGAGTTGCGGCGGAGTTTTGGGCGGCTTGTGTGACGAGTGCGTGGGTGTGGAGGAGGTGGTGGGTTATTCCTGCGCCGGCGCTGAAGAGGATTGTTGTGCCGTAACTTGAGGGGTTTGTTGGGTTTGAGCCGTAAGGGCCTTCGATGAAACCTGATAGTGTGAGGGATTTTGAGGGGGATGCGTTGGCGAGGTTGTAGAGACGGCGGGTCATGCCCTTTTGGGCGCCGATTATCAGGGAGACTTGGGTTGTTGGTTTGGTTGGTTTGGTGGGGAGGTTGGATTGTTTTTCTAGGTCGGTGTATGTACCCTTGGTTGGGGTTGGGGCTGGGGAGGGGAGGAGAGCTGCTGTGTTGTTTGTGCTGGGTTCGGCCCAGGCTATTGAAAATGGGTGAGACATCCACCATGAGATACTGGGGATGTAGGCGAAGACGTGGCAGCCTGGTTCGATTTGGACGAGTTTAGGGAGGTGGAAGGTTACGCGGCAGGCTTCGCCTGGGAGCGCTTGGACGACCATTGTTGTTGTGCCGGAGGTTGAGATATTGAGGTGGACGAGGCGGAAGAGACGTGCGAGTCGGTCGCCTAGCCAGATTGCGGCGATCGTTCTTGCCCAGCTTTGCTGTGGGAGATTGTCTATCCGTAGGTGCATGTATACGCCGAGGAAGGCGAGTACAGCGGCGAGCTGGTGCAGGTGTAGGAAGGTCTCGTAGAAGGCGTGGCGGATGGGTGAGGGGGAGTGTAGGCAGAGGAACATCATCGCGACTGTGCCTACCAGGCCCCAGGTGAAGAAGGGAGTGCCACACAGGCGGGCAAGCATGCGGGTGAAGTCTTCCTCGTCGACGGCGTTAACGGCCCATGCGGCTGTGTGGACGACTGACTCGACGACGACGATGCGTCCCAGCCAGCGGTGAAGGAGATTGTATGTGTCGAAACTGATGTGGAGTAGAGGGATCAAGGGGTTGTTTCGGCCAGCGAGGAGGAAGAGCGGGATCATGTTGAGGACGGCCAGCGTCCCGGACCGGCCACGCAGCTCGGCTACCAATGCTGCCTTGTTGTTGACACTATAGTCCAGGTAGACGCAGTATGTGACCTGGCTGGCGAAGTATAGTGTGACCAGGATGGTCTGCAGTCGGGAGGGCAAGGTGCCGACATTGACAGCGGAAGAGAGCTGTAGTTCTCGGTTGTGTCGTTTCTTTCCTAATGGGGCGTACAGGATGTGTTTCTTGAGGTTAGACCACCATGATGATTGTTCCTGGGCCCAGAAGGTCTGCTGCCGCTGGTTTGCACCAGATGCGGTGATTCTGCGTAGATAGGCATGGCTGATCTGGGCGACCCGGCCACAGAACAATGCGAATGCCACAGCGCTCAGAGAAATGTAGATGATCCGAGTAATGATCACATCGCGAGGGACATCCACACCACCCAGCCCTCTTGAGTACTCATATATGTATGTGGCATTCGACCCGTACCCTCGTGCCGCGATATGCGGATGGGTTGTTGCCATTGAACAGGCGTAGATATTGAAGAAAGAAAGATGTTGCGGTTTGGACAGAAAACATGCAAGGCTGTGCTTTCGACGTTGCACAACCCCTTGGTCGAGATGTCAATCTGGAATATGTTTCAAGGAGCCGCTCAACAGCTCAGATCGAAATACGAAGATTTAGATGTCGACTGGTGGGCGTTTGCGGGGGAAACGAAATCGAAGACGGATGTATCAGATGAGATAAGTTATGAACAGGGTTGGCGAAAGTGAGTCGATATAGATAGAGACCTCTTTGATTGTATCAGACAAAGACAATGTGTAATAATGAGAGCATTGTGGCTGGTTTGAGGTCAAAGGACAATGAGGTTTGTTTCAATGTGAATGTCCAGGCTGAAGTCAACAAAGCGACCCAAAATAACCCTCTGATCTTTGGAATTCGAGAGAAATTGGCACGTCACCAAGAATCGAAGGTAGAGGGCTGACTCTCAAAAGGTATCTGGAATGCAAGGGATGGCACGTTTTTCTGTGAAGAATGGGATCGGACAATGTAGAGGCAGACCCAGACCAGAATATATAGAGCCAAGCAAATCCGTGAAAAGAATGTATTCAATCGATACCAGCCGACTGTCTTAAAAGCCAAGAGAATGGAAATGGAAGAGAGAAGCTCGGGCTGAAGACGGAGTTTTGAAGGAGCAAAGGCACCTTGGACATATCATGTTTCTGCAAAACCCCTGTATATGGTCTGATTAACAAGTGTGCCAGGCGTTTAAATGGCCGAGAGCCTATCAGCATGATTTCTTGAGTGACACTAAAGACGCCGGCGTTTCCAAGAAGACTAGTGGCCCCTTAATACAGGCGTGGTGATTTGCTGATGATCCTTGCAGATCCTAGTTCGACTCTCGGCGCGACGCCTTTGGATGAGAACCTGCGGACTCTGAAACATGATTAATTGCAGACGTTCAAATTTTCCGGTGGACATCCGGTGAACACCCGATGGAGTCTTGTCTTACTGTCAGACATTGGCTTTGTTGAAGTTTCAGGGTGGAACTGCGCACTGACCACTCTACTATACGAACTTATAGGAGTAGTTATATGTCCAATCTATTCAATAATGTACTCTATATTCATTCATTTTCAATATTTACCGTCCCATCCATCCACCATCAACTGTAAGAACCTCACCAGACACATAGCTACTAGCCTGACTGGCCAGATACACGACGGCGCCCTTGAAATCTTCAGGGTTACCCCATCGGCCAGCCGGGATACGTGCCATGATACCAGCGTTGCGAGAAGCATCGTTGATAAGAGCGGTGTTCATATCAGTAGCAATATAACCGGGCGCGATCGCATTAACGTTGATTCCCTTGGCAACCCAGTCGTTCGAGAGCGCCTTGGTCAACTGCCCAATGCCACCCTTGGATGCCGCGTAGGCGGGGACCGTAATTCCACCCTGGAACGTGAGCAAAGAGGCAACATTAATGATGGAGCCACGACGACCCTGGGGGAATTCAGAGGCGTCACGGGCCAGTAGGTATGCGGCGAATTCTCGGCACATGATGAACACGGAGGATAGGTTGATTTCCAGGACCTAGACATTATTTCCACATATGAGTTATAGTGTTTCAAGGGGAAGTATATGAGGGGTCTTTATATGGGGCTTTTAACTGACCTCGTCCCAGTCCTCGTCCGGGAACTGTTCGGCCGGGTGTCGCCGTTGGATCCCTGCGCAGTTCACGAGAATCTCCGGCTTGAGGCCTTGGCTGATCAATGCGGGGATGATGCCTTTGACGGCTTGCCGGTCCCCTAACTCGGCGACATGGATCCATGCCTTGCGTCCAAGGCGATTAATGATCTCATCCTTGGTTGATGTGTTGGTGTTGTCTCTCTATTGGGATGTCAGCACGTGTCCTTCAACTCTTTCCAGCTGACTCACCTGAATCAAGATAATATCGGCGCCAGCCTCGGCCAGAGCAAAGGCCATGGCTTGGCCAATGCCTCGTGTTCCACCAGTAACGATGGCGGTTTTCCCATTTAAGGAGAAGAGGGACATTACGTCTGCCATTATGAATGTATGAATATATGAATCTGCAAAGATCTTTGAAATAAAAAGAAACAAAAGAAAAAAGTAGGGAGGAGCTCCAAATAACCAAAAAGCCTCAAATGGAGAACGCGGGGGTTGTCCGAAGGGGCAATACCTATACCCGCGGGCATTAGCCGATCGGCAATTGAGACGGCAGTCTTTTTCCTATACATTTAAAGAGATGAAACTAATAAATAAGCGTATGAAGAGAGACATCAACTAATGTTTTACTAAATATTCAAGTTTTAATATGATTCAATTCTAAAAGGAAGAATATCCCTTTATATAGAGGCAAAAAAGTAGGCAAATCCTTTAACCCCAAAAGCCCCAAGTGTTTACCAAGGCTAGCGCATCAACCCCGTCTCCCCACAGAATGGACACGATGAGTAAGGGTCTGAGGACTTCCTTGTGGAGACACTGGACTTTGATTTTGTACTTTTCAATGTCCCTATAGCCATGGATGAAGAATCTTCGACAGAAGCCTCACGGCGCGATATCGCAAAACGCGTGTCTCGAGCTTGCTTGCATTGCAGACAGCGCAAGTCTCGATGTGATCTGTAAGTCTCCCTTGCTTTCTTTCCCCGGATCTGCAGTATGTTGTATATAGTTGGTTCCGCGCTGATCGCATGCAGAGACTCCAACGGCAACCCAGGCAAACCACCATGTCAGCGCTGCGTACGCGAAAACCGCGAATGCATACTAGG